ACCTCAATTACCATGACTTTTGATGTGTTATTTCTTCTCTACTTCATCCTTTTCATGTTTGTCCCTTGTTCTACCACAGCTCAAACTTACAGAAACATATCTTTAGGCTCATCCCTCGATGCACTAAATGATGACAACTCATCATGGCAATCACCATCTGGTGAATTTGCTTTCGGTTTTCGACAGATTGGAAAGGATGGCTTCCTACTAGCCATCTGGTTCAACAAGATAACCGAGAAAACCATTGTATGGTCAGCCAATGGGGATAATCTTGTCCCACAAGGATCCAAAGTTGAACTCACTGCAGATGGCCACTTTTTGCTCAATGATATTTCAACAGGCAAAGACAGATCAATAGCTTCTTCTGCTGCTACTGGCGTTGCCTATGCAGCAATGCTAGACACTGGAAATTTTGTGCTGGCCAACCAAAATTCAACCATTCTGTGGGGGAGTTTTGATCAACCAACTGATACAATCCTACCTGCACAGGCTCTTAATAACGGAAGCAGACTCTTCGCTCGCTATACGGCAACAAATTACTCAAGAGGTAGATTCCTGTTTACACTACAATCTAGCGGAGGTCTCATGCTTTACACAACAAATTTCCCACAAGATTATCCCTATTTCAATTATTGGAAGACCGATACTAATGGTAGTGGCTTTCAAGTCATATTCAACCAGTCTGGCTCTATTTACCTTGCCGCAAGGAATGGAACCATACTTAATGTAATATCCTCCAATACATTATCAAAGCAAGATTTATACCAGAGATTAACTCTTGACTATGACGGAGTTTTGAGGCACTATGTCTACCGTAAAGGCACTGGCTCAAATGCCGGAGTTTGGTCCACACTGTCCTTCATACCTTCAAATATCTGCATGAGTATCTCGCAACCGAAAGGTGGTGGTGCATGTGGGTTCAACAGCTTATGTCAACATGACCAAGGACAGCCAATCTGCAAGTGTCCATCTGGTTATACCTTGATGGATTCACATGATGTGTTGAAAGGCTGCAAACAGAACTTTGCTCCACAAAGCTGTGATGAGGCCTCAGCAGAGACCGATCTTTTCT